TCAAGTGTAAAATTCGAGTTGGGAAAACGAAGAAGAAAGAACGGGAAAAATAGAAAAAAACAATACACATCCATCCATATAATATGTCTTATATATATAGGTATGGAAAACTGACGGCTCTCTTGTTATTTTTCTCTAATAAACCATAGTGTCGTTACATTATTTTCCGTGCAGGTTGACGACCCCGGGGTATTCAAACATATTACATATATACATAATACATATTATATATAAAGTTAGTAAATTCATATTGTATATATATACATACACATTTTTTTTAACTTAACGGTCCATTTAAGACCTTCACCGCTTTATCCAACCTCTTCCACCTTTCTCTTTCATATACACACCGCATCCTCAATACTTGTATTGTTCATTAATGTGTTCCTTGCATTTGCTACATGACCACAACGGTACAAAACGTATTGCTATTATTGTAAAGGTATATCATGACGTTATTATTCATAATTTAAATAAACGAAGACTGTATAAGGTTGTTATTACGTGGTAGTTTTTGCACATATCGCATAATAAAAATATTTTTATTGTTTTCAAATTTTTTAAAAAAAATCGGCTCAAATTAAATTAAACGTACACGTACATATTATTATGATAAAGTAAAAACAAAACGGATAGAATAGGTTGGTAATCATAATGTTTTATTATTTCACAAAAAGCATGACTCTGTAGTCTGTAGTCTGTTGTTACAGGACATGTATTACTCAGTTGAACCATGAAACCACAAAAACGTACCAAGAAAAGAAGGAAGAGAAAAATAGAAAACGTCATTATATATTATGTTATAGAGCTTCCCGTATATTATATAGATGTATTGGTTATTCTGTACTCGCTTTTAAATTGTGCTACAATCATGCTTATGTAATATAATAATACATGAAATATTCATTATATACAGAGTAATTACCAAAAATGCTTATCCCTAATATTTGTTTAATAATGCATTTATTAAGTTCTGATACTTTGAATTTTTATATGAAATCTCTATACTCTAGTAAGCCAGATTTTTTTGTACTATTCAAGAAGTGTCATATAGTAATATAAACTTTTAATTTTTAAATGAGGATCATCATTTTTTACTAAAAATTATTTAACAGATTATATTTTTTTTTTGAAAATGTTGGTATATCTAAATGGAACCAGTGGCTTCTGAGTTTGAGAACACAATGTTCTTTAATAAGAAGGGAGAAATTGTAATAACTAATACTTATATAGTAATAAATTAACATTTTATAATTGATATTATTATATCTCCTTCACAATAATTGTAAATTATTTACAGTAAAAAAAGTGAAATTTTCATTTGAAAAACTGAAATGTGAATCGTCACAGAATATTCCCTGAAAAAATATAATATAAAAATCTAAGTATTCAAAAATATATACCAAGTACACTAGCAAATTCTAAAAATCATAATTTAAATAAATGCATCATAAGAGGAAAATAGAGAAGTGAATAAGTTTAGTCAATCAGTTAAAAATATATATATATATGTATTTATATATATATATATATACACATAAATATAGTATATTAAAGTAACAGCTAAATTATTTGGAAAAATGTTTATATTCTGTAAGTGGTGCAAGAAAATCAATCGATCTCGATTATTTATCTATATATTAATATAATGAGATACTTACATAATATCTACTCACAATAAAACTTATTCAAAATCAAATATTTTAAAAATGTTCGCATAAATAATATAATAATAGATAAATAGATATAAGAATATTATTATAAAATCAATATACATTAATATATTTTTAATGTTCACAATTTTTAATTTCTGAAAAAATGCAAATATATTTAAAAAAAAAAAAAAATTGATTAAAAACTATCACTTAAGATATATAACACAAAATATTGATTTCGGTACTTCACTAATCAGTAATCATGATAAGTACGTATTGGAAATAATATATAACAATATACCAGCTACATAAACATACTATGATATTCATCAAGTATACAGTTCAATCAGTCTAGTACGTATAGATGCTGAACCGAATATTTATTGTGAAAGTGTTTATACCAAATCAAAATAGATTTCATACATCGCATTCATGTTTATTACATAGGTAGTTTTAATAAGAGAAATGAGCAAAATTAACATTGATAATTTCTGTCCGGTACAATATACCGTGTATACCATCTACCAAGACACATCTTTATGTAACGATCGATTAAGTTTCTATTTTAAAATTTTAAATTTATGTACAATATTAGTCAACATAACTATTTTAAATTTTAATTGTACGTATAGAAAATTCATCATGTGCCTATTATCTATATTTTAATATAATATGATAAAAGAATAAAATTATTCGGAGATTAGTGTCTAATGTCTATGCGAGTTCAATGTCGCTTTTAAGTGCAACTCTCGTTATACTTAAATTTCGAGTCATAAGAACAAATTATTGTCTAATTGAACAACGAATGTTCATAGTGATTGTCATGACTGAAAATAAAAATAAAATGTTGAGCTAATATAATGTAAATTATGTTACTATTAAATATTAAACTCAATGAAAATTTATAAATTACCAATAATTAATGTGATACTAAGTTTGAGTTATTAATAATTTACAATGATAGGTAAGTAAGTTTACCGATTCTATAATATATGTAGGCATATGAATTAAATTATATTTTATTCACTAGGTCTTAAGAGTTAGGAGCTTGTACCTACTATTATTTAGAATAAATTTAAGATACAAATCAAAGCACTTATATTATAACGAATAATTTTTTTTCTATCTAATCGATATTTTTATCACTACCACTAGTAATATTATTTTATCAAATTTAAAGTTAAGGCGATGTAAAATAAACGACAAAACGAACAAACCAAACAAACGGTAATTCAGTTCTTCTGAATCATGACACTCGTGTTTAAGTCGACGCCGTGGGTTATATTTTCAAGAAACATGTTATGTTTATTTTAGACAATATATACAAGCCTGAAAGTATAAATTATGTCTTTAGTCTTTACCTATTCGTTTGTATATTTTAATGATATATAAGGAATATACATATAGACACCTATTACTCATATAGTATAATAATTGAAACGTGTGCCTGCACATCACTTATTTTGTATTTTTGTTTAAAGTGTAATACAATTCAAACAAATAAAAAACACCGTACACTTAAAACCTTACACCAAACTATTCACAGTGTGGATACGTATACAAAAATAAATAATCCTAAATGAATAAAAAATATTTTTAATATCTATATCAGCACTTCGCTCTAATTTAATCAATTTGTAACGTATTTGGAGGTAATAGGTATAACTAAATATTATTAAAACACAATACATAATATATATATGCATGTATAATTAACGGATTAATAAATAGTTATTTTGCGTGAACTACCTTGGATATCATTGAATAGATATAATACAGTTGTAGATAATTGTGATTGCAATAATGTTTATGCAGTATAGATTTGTTTAGCAACTTAGTACGATAGGATATCACCGGCCTTGGTTTCACAACTGAATCGGATTAGGTTTATTTAATATTTATAAGGTTTTGATATTATTGTTAGTGCCCAAATCATTCAATGAAGAACGGACGTTTTGAACCATTAAAATATAGGTAGTTATTCTCGTAGGTACGTTGAGATGAAAAATAGTCGCAATGAACACGTAATAGACATTATATAGACACTATCAAAAAGCAATAATTTCAAATGCAAAATATAATGCGTTATTTGTATGATACTATACTATACAACTCAGTATAAAACAAAATTAAATACATTTGCTTGAAACAGTGTTTTCCCCTGCGGGTACAAACGTTTTACACCCATGTGTGGCTGATACATGTTTTTTTTAGATGTAATTATAAAATATAATGTAGTAGGTACATTTACATCATTTAGAAACACGTGTTATAAATAATTATAATGCAGAATCGACGTACCATCACCAATTCAAATTCAAACTTGAAATAACTTATCCTTAATAATTTAATACTGGTAAAAAAATCAATTTAACTCGGTTAATATCTATGATTTTAAAATACATTTACTATTACAGCAGTGGTCACAAGTCAAAATGATGGGGATAAGTTTGATATTTTTTATTTTTTTTATTCATATAGATTTCAGCCTTCTTTTTTACATTTTCTTCTATCATTTTCTATTGCAAAGTACAATATCTTACAATTCAATATTTTTCATCGACTTTAAAATCAAATGTCTAATAATATTTTGAATTCTACAACAAAATGATGATTTTAGTATCTATCTCCACTTCTTACACTTATTTTATTACTTATAACCACTTATTTATAAAATATAGGTGTGTGTAAAAAATATTAAATGTTTCGTTTGTGTAATATTTTATCTGCATTATACGATTTTTTTATAAATAATATAATTAAATATTATAGAAATATAAAAAGTTGATACTCAGTTGCATGCTCTCTAATACTCTAATTTTCTTCATGCATGAGAAATCATTTTGGCGTAAAATGATTACATTTTTTTTCATAATTTGACAGAATTATTATCTGATTATTATTTATCATAGAACAATCAGTAGTCAGTACAACAAATAATATAATTACCACCAGAAAATATTTTCGTTTCAACTACTATAGTATATCTATAGTATATATTATGATAAATAATATTATTACTTATTAAGATGGACTTACATATTACATATGTTGGTACACATTCAAATATTGCATATAAAAATGCTTATGATATAATATAATATTATAATTGGTATATAAAAAATTACACTTAAAATAATATACATGTAGCGAAAAGTGGTTTTAGAGTGCAAATAATGCATTTATTTATTCGTACTAAATTCAACCGTTAGCAAATAAATAAAACGTACCTACCGCTGTGATATACAATAACGTTTAGGTACAAGCATTATTTTCATTACTTATGATCATCATATACTTAATAGTAAATATTATAATACTGATACAAATAATAATAAAACGTACCGATAAGATAATGTATATTTGGCGGTAGACCGGAAGTAGGTCCGAATTCCCAAAGCACAGCTTATTGACAGCAAACAAACTTCAACAGGAAGTGATGTCGTCGTCAAACACGTATAGGTAGGTACACTGCAGACGGATATCATTATGTACGACGTCATGTTTATTATTCACGCATTAGTGAGTGTGTGCGTATCGCGAACTAAAAATGAAATGAAAAGAAAAAAACGGTTACTATCTGGTGTTATTGCATTATTATTTTTTAATTTTTTAATTTTTTTTTGTCTGCGGGACTGCAGTTTTTGTAATGACTACTGCAACTGAGTAGCAGCGGGCTTATGGGTGCTGGTACCTTGCAAACTCGAAAATTATACCGACAGACGGGTCTCAGGTGGCCAATGGCGTTTACCAATAAACAAAGCGAACAGAAAAAAAATTCAAAAAAAAAAAAAAAAAAACACCTTCGTTCACCGGCAGGTGTGTGTGCGGTGCGGTACGACAAGAGCTTCACAACGGCTTGTCCGTCATATTTTGAGAAACCCTGCAGTATTGCCTACATATGCACTGTACACCACCTGTCAACACTAACCACCCGTAACTGTACCTTTTTTTTTTATATATATACGTTATTTCGATGGACGTGTGTGTACAGTGTACACACTTATTATTATTATTATTATTATGGTGTGCGTGTGTGTGCGTGTGTATATGTGTACGATATACGTAACGCTGTAAAAATAAAAAAAAATAATTATGTAGGCATTAAAAGAATAATAAATGTGTATGTACAGAGTGACACATTATTCTTAACGGCATCCCTGTGTACATAAACGTTGCAGTGTTCATGATATTATTATTTATTGTACGTAGTTCACGTCGTTTCCGACAGAAAAAAACAATATTATGGAAAACAATTGATTTATATATATTATCTGAGGGTTAGCGTATATACACGAATCGTACGAGAGGCCAAAAAGGAGGTAATGGGCTCCTGACGGTCTCTTCACTCGTTCAAACAGATATTTTTTCTGTCGTCAGCACGACATTCGCACTCGCATATTGACAATCAAGAATTTATGGAAAAATTAACTTATCCTAAAATTAAATATGAAAACGACAGCGAAATAGGCTTGCAATAAGTTAAAATATCGTTTACATTGAATTCCGTCATACAAAATTTCAAATGTTTTTTTCATAAAAAAAGGAACGCAACTATAACACCTTGAATTAACGTTATAATGTACTTAAACTGGGTACTTAAATATTGTTGTATAATTAGACTTCGAATAATAATAACTTGAATCGTGGTAAAATGAAGCGTTTTCTAAAAAATCTCATTAATATATAAACTTCTTATTAACTTGATATCTTATTTTAACCAATGCGTGACCTAAAGTAATCTTTCAAATTAAATTATTATTAGATAACATATATTATATTGCAATACATCGTATTACATTTTAATATAGATGTACCTACTTAATTGTTTTCATGTAGCCATTTTAAAACGATTAGACGATTTAATTATTTTTCTTCTAAATTTTATACACATTATCTATATGTACCTGCAAAGTGTAAGTGAAATACGAATATACGAGTTGAATGAAATAGCTAGTACATCGAACAGTTTAACGAAAGAAGCCATTGGGAACACTTCATGTATATATATATATATATTTTTAATTAATCTTAATGCATGTGTCTGCCATCTGCGTCTTAAACGATTGCTAGAAATTTCCTAAGTCGATAAGCTTTGAATCTAGGGGTTAGAATGTTTAAAGTGAGAACGATCATACAAAACCTACTTTAAGAGACGAGTTTTGCTTTTTTTTTGAATACCTCAGTTTAGGTAAAAATTAAAATCGATGAATATGATTAATAATTAGGCGCATGATTTAATACAAATTTTGTTTATCCAACAAGTCCAATATCTCTGGTACTATATATACCTATCATAATGAAATTAATAATTATTTGGTATCGTTGAAATTGTATATATAATATTATTAAACTAAATTTATTATAAATATATAATGTGGAGACGATGGATAGAGCGTAATACTATTTACTGTGATCGAAATCGCGAAGGTTTGAGTTTAAACACGGTAAATTATTATTCAGGAATCGATATACTTGTATGTAAGTATAATTAGTCCGAGTGTTGAATACGTGATAATACGTCTATAACTCCATATATTATGGAATAATAATAATATTATAATATAATTATATTTCTATATTATACATTGTCATAATGATATTATACTCATTCTTGGAACAAAGATTTTATAAGTTGTTAACTAACCTGTTACTGCTTGTTGGATAACTTTTTTAGGTGTTTCTTCACCAAGAACATATACCTAACAATTGATATTTCATACCATATATACCTGCAATGCGATATTATGTTTACACAGTTAAGTATTTATTACTTATCGCAGTTATCAGATATAGTAGGTACTATACAGTTTTGTTACCAGAGTTCTCACCTAATAAGTTATAACTATTTACAAATCAGAAATTATTGCATCAATAATGTTTAAAGTATGCATGTTAATATGCAATTAAAATTACAATAAATAAGTAAATATTTTAAAATATGCAGCTAATTTTTTTTTTAATAATTATATAAATAAAAGTGTTTCTGGTTTATTTATTATTAACTATTATTTTAAGGTTCAGAATTTATTTCCCTTTAAAAACATACCAAATATTAATCATTCATGCAGCCGTACTAATAGTATATATTAAAACTACTAAAATATAGCAATAAAAACTATAAGGATAAAAAACGGATAAAAGCGATATGTATAAATATATAAAAATATTTAAAAAAAACATAATATTTATTAGATTTGAATCATTTTTACTAATTAAGAAATGTTGATAAATTAATATTAATTACTGATATTTTCAAATTATCGCCATGGCGTCCATTTCCTCATGTATACTAATTTTATCATGAAGTTATTTTCTTTATTACACAATGTTAAATGATCTAAGTATTACTCGTTCAAATTTTGATTCTTATAGGTATGTTAAAGTTTTCAGAAAATGTATCAACTAAATAATTTACAGTTGAAAAAAACAAAAGCTTGTATCTCACCCACAGGACACATTTAAACAGTACAATTACTGAACATATTTAACTCAACATATTTTGGTCTTAGCATAAAATTGAAAATTCCAAAATTTAGGTTTTAAATGTTGTATTATTGAAAAAAAAAAATCTAGTCGGGTACCTAAATTACTCTGTATATGAGTATTTAACACTACCTATATATAGTAAAAATAATAACCACAATATTACGCATAGGCATGAATGCATGATGCCATTCTTATTTAGCGTATCCCACTATTCCTAATATACACCTATTACACCTACACAAACTGAAATTATTTTATGAACAATTTTATTTTATTTCGGGTAATGAACAAATTATATTTATATGCTAATCCAAGTAACTGAATGCGGATGGTAATACCTACTATGCTTCGTTGCTTTTGTAAATTATACATGCGTGCTTATTATATTGTTTTATAAAAGAAAAAGAAGAAAACTGTACACAAGATACTGCTATAACGTACTTGCACATGGCTATAATATTATAATATATTCTTAATCGAGACATTTTATTTTATTTTTATTTTTTTGCAAAATTTATGACCGTTGGCTATGTATTGTTTTTGTGCATGGCCGACGAAAATGTTTGTTGCGACGATAAATTAACGCGATATGGCTCGATATAATAAAAATACAACAATAATAATAATAATTTTCAATGGGTCAAAAACCTCCCGTAAATACGGCCTTGATCATTTATTTAGTTCATGTTTCTTTTTTCTCCACTTTAACTAGCGTAACGGGTACATTTTTCTTGTTCTTTGTCGGTAATAAATCGTTTTTATTATTTCCTATGGAACAATTTATAAAATTACATAAAAATAAAATAGTAAGTAGGCTTCTTCAAACTCGTGTGCAAAAAAAAATAAAAAATATTGACTACAATGTATTTTAAATTTATAACAGCATCTCATATATTTTAGACATAACACTCTGCTACACAAAAAAGCCGACAACAGATTCTTGCATATCTATATTTTCCATGTGCTTACAGTAATTTTTTCCCCCAATAAGTGATTCGCAACATAATATTATACGTTATCGTAATAATGTAATTTTTTTTTCGTTACACGGTGTTTCTGATTTTCCATACATTACCATACACGTGTAATTATAATAATATACAGCAAAGTGATTCTTTTAAAGGTTCATTTGCTTATATTAAAAATGTAACTGTTTTGGAAATATTCTTACAACTTTATAATTTGAGTTCATAACAAAAAAAAAAAATAAAAATATTTTTATAAAACTATTTTACCAGCATCAATTTTAAGTATTAATTTTTTTCAATTAAATGTTAATTTTTAATATTTTGAATCAGAAAATATTTTATCTGAGAATTTCAAACGACTAATTAATATTAGTCTAAAATTAGAGTGGAATATTTTTCAGGGTACCACTGATCTCTCCGTTATTGTTAGTCTCGATATAACTCATTTTAACTCTCAATTTTAAATATGTACCTATAAATATACACTTATAAGTACTTATAATAATCATTAAATAATTATAAGTTTGACATTTAATTTAAATACATTGAAAAAAGTTCTCACAAAAATATTCTGTTTTGTAATGTAAAAAGGTTTACTGTCATTCAGTAGAGTAAAAAGCTTATAAAATAATAATGATAAAAAATACTGTTTTTAAATGACTTCAAAATAAATTTAAAAAAAAAGTTTGAAGTCACTCAGATGTACATAATAAATTTCGACTTTCGAGTATACCGTGTAAATGAGAAGTAGTCCACTGCCACAAATGTATTAATTGTAATGATTTGTCATTACGAAAAACGATTCCAAGGTGTATCTCTACTTCTAACTTCTAAGGTTATAGGTATTTTATGATTTATTAATACTATAGTTATTGCTGTAATAGTAATTATTAATTTTCTATCAGTAATATGATAGTTTACAGTAATTTTTAACAAAAACATTGCATATATTGTAATAAAAACGAGTACCTACTTAATTTAGTAAAAAAAAACTAATTTCAAAGACCTATAAAAAGTATCGGGAATATCAATTTTGACCATCCAACCAGATCCGATTTTCTACCTAAAACCGCAATTTAAACTTTAA